TTGTGTCTATTAAAGTGTTTAACCAAGCATCGAATAGTAAACATGCACTACATGAATTGTATTAGTTTTTTGGGGGTTAGAGGAGGTACCGGTTTTCGCTGCATTTGATTTCCCGACTTTTGCATTGCATTTTCGAAAATTAATGATTTCATTTCTACACATTTATTATTTTCATTCTGAGTGTTTACACTACATTTCTAGCAATTAGAAGAAATCATAATTTTAATAGAAAATAGTTTGTGAGAGGCTAGCTGTAGATCTGTACCTCGCTAGCCTCTCACAAAAAATTGAAATAAATGAACAGTGAGCTACAGTGCCACCCATATTAAAAAGTACGATTATATGTTCTTTTTCGTACAAAAATATGCGCTTGGTTCTGAATTATTTTCTTTGAATTCTCACCTCCACTGCACAAAAGATGGATTTTCAAAATTTTCTTGAGACTTAAATCGAGTACTAGTACTTGACATATGCAAGAAGCTCATTGGACTAAATTATCTTGCCACCCAATATGGGAGAATAATTAGACGGTATTTTCGAAATCTCAATTTCAGACTCAGGAGGACTATTAAAAACGGTTGTAAGGACTGTTTTGTTGTAGAAAAAGTGAAGAAATGTTTTAGAGACACACGATAAGTACTATTTTTAGATTCCAGCAGTCGATGAAAGTCATGGATATTGTACATAGCTCCAGTGCATTTTTTGCTAAATAAATTTACATTTTTTTTCAATGGGTGACACTTTAGCTCTGGCAATATATCTACATTTCTGCAGCAAGTGAAAGGCTGGACATTTATACATGTGCGATGTACGTGGTACTGACGGACTTTGAGCATACACAGAAAATGAAAAATATCGCAGCCCAAAAAACAGTTCAAACAAGATAAATCACTAGCAGCGCAAATACATACCTTTTAAAATCAGAGGTGGAATCAGGTAAAATTGATCCTTTTTATGCCAGCACTTAACCTGTAACGAGGCCGTCGCGTTTACAGTGGCATAGATAGGGTCGATCTCCGCGTCTTGAATCCGCAACTTACATATAATGGATTTACTTGAACAATATGTATTTATAAGTCTAAGAAATCTCATGTAAGAGACTTAATTTGTATTCTAATATCTTAATTTTTTTTATAATTTGTATTTCCCTTTTTTATTTAAAATTACATTTTTTTTATGAATATTGTACTTCGAAGATAGCTAAATCATTGTATTGACTGAAAAAACTGCAATAATGTTTTTTTTTACTAGTATATGATACACTGATAAAATGATACAGCTCATTGTTTGAATTTAATTAGATCCTAGCCAAATACAAGAGAAAAGCAGAATTAAAATGTAAATAAACCTTACAATTGAAGTTTTTTTTTTAAAAAAATCAATTTTGGTAGCCATGAAAAATAACTATGTCAGTCTTTTTAATAGGATGATTTTTGAAGGTAAATACTGACAGCCAAAAAAAGGGACAAACTCCTGGGTCCTTGCATCCCCTCTTACCACCCTCACCCGAAAATATATATTCGTTTATGTTTTGTTCATAAAAAAGTCATAGTCGCCTAAATACTGTAAGTGTTTTATATTTGGCGTTGTATTCTTTTTAGCACTTTTAGCGGAAGGGACCTTCCGTTAATTGAAGTACAACGCTAAATGACCTGCACATATATACATGAATACACTGAAGAATGCGCAAAATCAAATCTACGCTGACTCGTTCAAAATCAATTTTCGCCAAAAATCATACATGCCAAATATTATACATTTATTGTAGCTTTCCAAATCAATTTTTATCAATTTAAAATTTCTCGATCTAATCTTAGATCAATGTAGAGGAAATAAAATCTTGCATTCACCTGGAACGTCACGTGCAGGTCAATACAACATTGTATGTTTCTAACATAGTTGTATCTAAGCCAATAAGAGAGATTGAAATTATTCTATCATATAACAATAAACCTGATTCATCCATTTAATTTTGTCACAAAAATTTTAAAGCAATATGAGCTGCATTTTTGAGAATTTTATTTTGCTGGTAAAACGTATTATTATAATTAATTTGACGGTAATATAAACCCTTATGATCAATAATACCAAGATAAAGCACATTATTTTCAAGGTCCCGTCTCATATAGAAGACTGCTTGATTTTTAAAAACCTTTTGTGAAATATGACTTTAAAATTTGCTACTTTTTTGTGCCGTAACTTTCATTAGTGACGTCGAAGTGTACTAACTAAAATAGCACCCGCAAGTCGTACAGAAATTATTTTTTTTTTTTCAGATGGGATCTACATAACCTAGATTTATAAACTTTATGAACTTTAAATGTTTAAATGTTATTCAATGTACAATGACATTTTCCTTCTCTTGTATTATTGTAAGTATAATTCTAATTGGTCAATTTTCCATATCTGTAAAGAAAAAGTATCTAATTGTGTTGCTTCTTAAGACTTACTTATCATTTATCACTTACTGGCCAAAAGTTGTAATTCTCTTTATTCATTCTGCCTGTAATAAGAGAGAAAGTTAAACTCCAATGAACATCTCCATAGCATTCTGTGTGACGGTAGAATACCTGGCCAGAGACCACAATTTTCCATAACCGGAGAATGGTCTTCACAAGCGCTTAATCATACAATGTCACCGCTTTCATATGTTTGATCTTTTTCAAAAGGCTGGGTAAAAAATGCACTATTCCAAACTTACATATTTCCACATTTTTGTTTAAAAGTTCAAATATTGTTACATACTTAATATTTTGATGCATTATTCTCTGCTGCAGAGGAAATAAAGAATGTCTGTCTGTCTGTATATTGAAATTTTATTCTTTTTTTTTTTTAAATGCAACATACTTACCAAATAGTTTTTAAATCCAGAGTCAAGTGAGTGCAATCAAATATTACTTCAAAGATTGTCTGATCCTAAAATTCCATTTTCAACATTATAGCTTTTTAAGGCATTAAAAGTATGACAACCTTACTTTGGAAACTGCATCTACCGACAGAATAAATGTTGATGTCAAGATGAACGGTTGGGCAGACAGATTGGCATGAAATTAAGAAGCGCTGTTCTCTTGTAGTCAATTTTTATGTGTATAAAAATTGAAACAATTTCAAAGCCTTTAGAATTATAGTGCAGTGATGTATATCCACATTGAGGCCTGCATACAGACAGACTTGATGTTAAACAAAACCATTGAAGTCTTCATTTAAAGGTAATATGAATCCAACAAGAAATATCAATTCTAAATTTTAAAAGTTAAAATTGTTATACTAGTGCAATATAAATTTCCCTGGTAATGTATAAAAGACTACACATTTATTTTTATCTGGTCATTACTATGATTTATTACCTTTCAGAATAACCCACCTAGAAAAGGTGGCCTTATAAGGTGGCACACGTGTATCCTAAACAGTATAATTCATGCTATTCAAGAACTCATAAATAAAGAAAATGTTTATCATATTTTTACGGTGTTTTTTTTTTTCGTTCTCTTCTTCACTGAAAATATTGAACTTTTTTCAGATAAATAACATTTCTGTATATATATTGTCGTATTTATACTCAGAGTCTTTGAGGAAAATACCGATAAAAAACCAGTCAAGTTTTATTTCTTTAAAAGGTTTTTATTGTTAATTTTTGATGCGGGTGACAATATGAACCAATTGACGAAAATATATACAGTGAGACAACTTGTAAGGTCGTATTATAACTGCCAATAATATGTAAATAAAAAATAACAAGTACAGCTACAAAACACTTATATTTATTTTATTACATTTTTATTTTAAACAAAATTATCCATTCTGAAAATATGTGACAAAAATGAAGTTGAAATGCCATTAAATACTGTAAAATGTAAACCGAACATCATAAGATTAACAGGTAGTAACTTTAGTACATACAATTAAGGACACATAACATGTAAAGTGAAGAAAGTCAAAATCTATGAAATGTAAATAGGCTCAATATCAACCCCATTAACATATTTTTGTTAAAAATAAGCGCTACATGGTTCACATTTTATTCACTGTCTTACAGCGCACAATCTGTACATGTACTTAAAAGAGTTTTTTAAATATATTATTGCATTGCTTTGTAATTTTTCATTTTGATGCTTTAAATATTTCAAAAGTTGCTTTAAATAATCTACAAGCAAAAGGACATTGTGAATTAACTGCTCCATTTTGTTAAATTCCTCTTTGAAATACTAGTATGATGCACTTTGTACAACTCCTTAATATGATGAATATAAAGTTACACTGCACAAAGCATAAACAAAATCATTTATTTTTATTTTACAGCTATCTTCGTATGGTTTCTTTAAGATTTATGTTCCTTTAGTTAATTCTTTTCATGCATCTTTTTATTGTAAAATTTTTAAATACTCCAAGACTTGAATACTGCCGTCTGTGTATTGGCCTACTAGTCGACCTCATTATGCTCAGCTACGATAATATCACCAGAATTTCCACAGGCCAGACCTGTTGGTTTCCAAGAAACATCTAAAGCAATTGTTTTTGTCGTGCCATTCTTTATAATGTGTACATCAGGTTTGCTATCTGAGGTGTAGAATATTGTTTTATCGTTAGCTTGTGAGATATACTTTGGTTGATTTTAAACAGGTATTGACATAATTTCTTCCCCAGAGAAATCTAACGAACGGATTTTGAAACTCTTTTGAATTCTGTAAGTACCACACACGAGTAAAGTATCATTCATTGTAACCATTACATCGAAAATATAGCCATAAACTGTGACAATCTTTTGCATTCGGTTTGTGTGTTCCAGTAATATTATGGCTTCGCTCTTTTTATTTTCATCTTTTCCTACATGCTTTTCCTCATGAAGTTTAGATGTTATGATTTTTTTTTGGATGAAGTCAACATTCCTAACAATTCTTCTAAATTGAAACAATCATTCTCAGATTGATTAAAATCCGGGGGTATCCGTCCCATCAATTCCGGGCATTTTTCAAAGGGATAATTCTTGACTTGGTACGCAGTTAAACATTCAGGGTCAGCCATTTGCCTAGAAATTTCAGATTTAGATTCCTCGATATTTTCAATGATTTTTTCCAATTAGTTTTGTTGTCTGTTAGACAGTCAAGGTGCTCCATTTCCATGGCATCAATTTGCATTTTTAGTTTCTTAACTTTCCTCTCAAATTTCTTTTGTAAAGCCATACCAGCAATTTTGACTTCCTGTCGAATAGCGGAATACTTTTCAGGAACTTCAGAAATAGTTTGTTCATTTTCACACAAAAGTTTCAAATACTTATTTCTGTATTCCATTTCAAGTTTCTGAAGCTCTTTTTCCATCACTGTCCTTTGAGAAGCAGAACGATCGGCAAGATACTCAAAGTTATGTTCCTTATGTTCGATTTTTGTGCAAACAGTACAAACTAGTTCACAACAATCTTTGCAAAATAATCTGATTTCTCCTATGTGTTTCTCGCAGCCTATTGTCGTTGATACCTGTCCAACAGAGTATGCAGATGCAAAATGATGAGGATTTGCTTTTTTGTGTTTTCCAAGGCAATTTTCACAAATACGTTTGCCACAATTACATAAACAATCTTCTTTTCTTTCAACGCAGTCCTCACTGGCAATAGCTATTTGACATTCTTTTGACTCCGCCATTTTTACTTTTAAATTGTAACCGGACCAAACAATTTAAAAGTCAAAATGTCTCAGATTGCATTTATATTACTTTGTAGTTTTACATGTCGTTTAGATTTCTATTTATAAATGGTTTCTTATCTGTAAATTGAAGGAGCTGTAAATCTTCATGAATCCAAAAGAACAGACATTCATATATTTACTGACCGAAAAAAGGGAGATAAATCAAGCGCAGGGCTCTTGGGCTCTTGTAAAATACGTGCTCAACTGAACTATATCTGCCATTGGTAAATACCATTAGATTGATTTGTGCTTCGTACAGGGTATCTATCTGCACGTAAATGATTGATCGCTTTCAATTTCATCGAGTCATTTCCTTTCATTAAAAACATCAAAATATTTTTTACACACAAAAGTACGTTATTTTTATTCAATTTGAGAATATATATATATATATATATATATATATATATATATATATATATATATATATATATATATATATATATATATATATATATATATATATATATATATATATATATATTTTATGTTTCCTGAGTTTGTCAGTCCTTCTGTCCGTCTAGCTGACCCCATATCTGTCTGGCAGTCTGTCCAACTTGGTTTTCCGCAGTTTTCTTTTGTAGACGCTTGTAGACATTGAGCTGATTTTTGGTATACAAGTGTATCTCTATGAGTAACGGATCAAGTTTGAATGTCATTTTGTTTTATTGATTTTTGACAGAATTATAGCTTTTTCTTTATTTTTTAGAATTGTTTAAAATCGGGTTCGTGCTGCGCTAAACTCTGAAGGTCAACATGGTAAATATGGAGCGAGAAGAAAAATCGTTAAAAAAATTAGTTGAACTTTCGTTTCTTTGTGGATTATTATTCAAGATTAAAGGCATGCACAAGCTAAAAATTATGACATCAAGCAGGCCTACATGTTCGCATTTCATTTAGTGACATCCTAAAGAAATTTGGAAATCCGGTAGGGAAAATGTGTTGCAATTTTCTCAGAAAGCTATTTACATATAACTTACTGTCGACACTAGAAAGAAAAGTCGCCTGTTTTTCGGATGAGACATTACAAACTAGATGTGATATACATGTATAGACGTTAACACGATGGTCATTTTGTAATTTACTCATGCCTTGTGTTAGGAGTATGGAATTAAATGCACGACCCTTCACTTCCAAACAGTGAAATCTCTGTATAAAGAAGGTAGTCCCAAACTGGGACCTTTAACAATAAATTCCGAGCAAGCAATTGTTTCGATTGGGATCCATTTTCAAAGACTTTGACTATATGACATAACTGTGTGCTTGCATGTATCTTTATTTCTTTGCATTCATTTTACTATGACTTGTAAAACATGTAAGCCTCAACTTATGTCCATAAAAGAATTATTCTTGAAGAACCAGTTAGACTATTAAAAATCACTAAGATGTACTTTTAACTAGCAGTTGATGATATTTCTACCGTGTCTCTTTGCGTGAAGAATATATTTAAAAAAAGTGCATGGCCATAAATATTATCTAGTTGTGGACATATACTAGTAATACTAGTATCATTACTGTGTAAAGGTAGAATTTAAAACCAATGAATTCCATATCCCGAGAAAGAATATTTTGTTTAAAAGATCCTTTTTCGTACATTGTCACCTCTATAACGATCATCCTAAAATATGCACTCTTTAACCTGGAGTTCTCAGATCCCGGGTCCTAGTCTCCAGAACTCCTACCACTTATTCCTTGGCTGAACTTAAGAATATCTGACGACGTGATATCAGACTCATACCCAAAATTCTCTGACCATCAATTATCATAATTCTTACTTCTGCCACATGTCACAACCATGATAAAGGATTCTCTAACGGTCTTGGGAATCCTTGTTTCAGTATTTTTTAACATTCATGATTGAAAAAAAACTTACTTACAGCCCACTGTTTGAAAATCAAACTATAGAGGAAAAAAGCAATATGACTTTTTGCCTTTTTCTTGTGACGTATTTAGTTCTTTGAAGGTGTTGCAGTGCACCAAAATCTGCCTTTTGACTCTCAAAAGAAAACGATAACTCTAGGTACGGCTATATATATCAATAACATAATTATGGGAACATAAAATAATAGAGACTGATATATAAAGAGAATGCAGAATACCAAACCACCCAAAAATGACACTGTCACGTGAGCATTATCGATTTTCAGAGGTCTGTTTTTTAAATCATTTCCCAATCCAACCCAGCATGTAACAGTAAGTAAGATAATGCATATTTTGAATTTAAAAAAAAATGTTTTTTGCTTTGATTTTATCTATTAAAAGCTATAAATTATTTCTTTTCGAAACTGTTTAAAAAACTATAAGAAAGTTTGATATGTTTCATGTATAGAATAAATGAAGAATTACAGCTTTTGCAATTCAACGTACATTTATTAGATATAAACTGTTGAGAATATTTTACAATTTAAGGACATTGGCAAGTCACGGTTATCCGGAGAAAAAAGGTTTATATCATGGGTTTATTCACTTATAAAACTGTGATTGCAGCCCGAAGGACCGTGCTGCTCTATACATATAAGTTTAAGTGTTGGTGTATGGGGATTGGGGTGGAAGTAGTTATTTAGAATTAAAGGTTTTCTAAACATTGAAAAGACTGTTAATCAGAATGTACTTTCCGTTTATAAATTATGAGATACAAAATATAATTACTTCCATAAAGTGAATCTGTAAAAATATTTACGTTTGTCATATTTAATATATATAGTTGCTTATCATTTTCTATCGAAAAAACGACAGATCCCTTTTTTAGAACATCGAATTTTACTTCTCGGATAAAAACGTACTCTTCACAGTTCGTGTTTTATATTATAAAATTGAAAACTAATACATTTTCAAATATAGGTGATGCATGTGTCTAACTTGAATTAATACTTTATACAGCCAACATTTACTTGAGGAATTGATCAAGTTTAAAATGGTATCGTTTTTTAATATTTTTTATCCGACTTGAAGTTCGACTATCGTCTTCATCAATTAGACGCGTGCCTTTTCACTCATATCGAAGCGGTTTGATGATCAAGACTCATTTTCATTGTTTACTTGATATATTTCCCGGGCGACAATTGATGGTTACATCAATGTTTTCTTGTTGATTATCTGTGAAAGGAAAACCAACAAAGCGTAATTTACAGAGGTTAACAAAAGCACAAGGCATTTGCTTCCCTCAACGGGTAAAATCATCTCTACAGCAAGAAAGAAAAACGGTGATTGTTTTGTTGTACAGTTGTCAACAGACCGTCATTTACCGTACATGTATACCCATGCTAGGGAGAACAATTACAAGATATACAAATGCCGAGAACCTGAATGAGGTCGTGGGAAGGAAGCACCATTTACATGTAGTAACTGTAAACAAATATAAAACAAATCTATGCCAATATTTTTTATGAAATTTTTTTTCAATATGGTAAATTACTTTACATAAACAGTCATACAGTCTTTACCATTATCAATACGATTTTAAAGGAAGTAACTAATAAATAAAATAAGTAAATAATAAACAATATTAGTAGATCTGTGTCATGTTTCTAAATTTGTGTTTTCAGTCATGATATGTCGATATGATTGGAAATGAGGATTCAATAAATTTTATATTATATAAACTTTTTGATTTAACTGGATTTTGGAAAATGTTTATGGTAAAAAGGTCCTTTTTATCGACATTTTACATAGGAAATGCATTGAGAATTGTAAAAACCATTGATTTGACAAAATCTTATAAGGAAGGGTGGCTTGGTTGGTAAAATGTACCAGAATATAACATGTTTTTATCATTACAACTGTTCAAGGGTTCTTGAAAAAAATATCAATACAAAAGAAAGGTACCTTGCAAATGTCCTTAAACAGAGCGTGTTTTCTTATCTGTTTTCAATCTAAAAAGAAATAAGACTATGTTGTTCCCGCGATCAGTATACTTCTATTTCAATGTTTTGGCTTATGTACATACGCAGTTTGGATTTAAAAATCTGTTTAAACATATGTTAACAAAATAACTGTATTTCTATGTTCATTCTAAATATTATTTACCCCCTCTTCCAGCATATGATAATGGTAAAATATTTTTACAAACCTGGAATGAACCTAAAATTGACTTAATTTTCAAGGCATTCTACTTATAATCTTTTTTATGTTTCGAAAGCCATTTTTATGTTCAAAAAATGGCGAAATTAAATATAATTTATAACATACCTCATCGCCAACCTACCGCAATGAAAACCGCGATGAAAAAAAAACTTAAATTGCAGATATTTAGCAAAATACATTTGATATTTTGTTATCTTGTCTTCGCCTTATTTGTGTATAGAATATACCTCGTTTACTGTTATATGTAGGTGCCGATATCATCTCTTCCACAACATACACAAGAAAAAATTATTGAAAAGATTTCAAAAATTACAATTTGTTAATACTTTATGGGACATTTGTTTTTCCTTCGACACTATTTATAAAGTTGGTTCCATTCAAAATTAAAAGCGTTAATGGTGCTGTCTCTTTGTAAGTGTGGGGAGGGTTAGAGGATTCAGATACTCATGTTTTTAATCTTTGATTACATGTATTCTTGAAGCCTAAAATCTAGTTTGCGGAGATTTATGCCATTCCTTGCAAATGCAGTGTATAATTCATATTGCCACTGTGTTCTTGAATGCAGTGAAAGCTACTTTTGTGCAGCGCTCTTAAAGGAAGTCTTTCTAAATTATTCATTTTTAATTCATTTCATGATTTAAGGGTACGTACTAGTAATTAAATGTTAAGTATTTCGAGTAGAGAATCAATTCGTAGGAAACATGTATCTTTATTAAAGATCTAGGCTGTATTAGTTTAATACTGGGGGGTAAAGCCCGAGTTCTACTTTAAAACATATCCCCCGAGATAACGTTTGATTGAGGTCATAGTTGAACTATTGGAATGAATATTATCGATTTAGACTGCTTAAGTAATTTTTGGTGTGATTTAAAATTGTTTTAAGCCGTTGAATTATCCTTGCTGGTTCAATTATTTAATACACAAAAGAGTTTTATTCACATTACAATGTTCAAGTATAATTAAACATTCGAATTTTGGTCTGAAGAATCAAGAAGATATTACTAATGTTAAACTTTATTTAAAGTTTTGAACATGCAAACAGAGCATTCTAAAGTAAAATAAATCCAGAAAGGTTGCCATTTCACTGTTGTCTGTCTGGATTTTTTAATTTTCCCTTCATTTTTTTTTTCGTGATTCTTTTGTATTATGAAGGATTTAAATACTCCATTACTTGTATACTGGCGTCTACATATTGTCCCACTAAGAGTCTTCTTCTCTCATCTATTGATAAAGCAGTAGGAAAATTAATTTCTTTCATAATGTATCTCATAAAATATCCTTCAGAATCAATCACATGTATTGCATGATTAATATAGTCAGCAATAAGGATGTTATCCATGAAATCCGTAGCTAGGCCTCGAGGCGTGAAAGACTTAAATCTTTTTTTCCCTCTATATATAAATTTCAGCTCACCCGCTGAAGAGAAAACAAAAACCATTTGTCTTCCTTCATCCGAGGTGCAGATATCTGAATTACTATTGACACAAACATATGTAGGATTTACGAGTTCATGATGTGAGTCACTGATACCAATGATTTTCCTCATCTCACCATCTGATGAATAGACACTCAATCGACCTAGTTTTGTCATTTCGTAATGCTCAGCTACGATTATATCATCAGAACAGTAGGAAAGGCCCCTTGCCTTCCAAAAATTATCTGAGGTAATTGTCTCAATAGTTCCATTTTTAACTCTTTGTACACCTTGTTGGCTTTCTGAGGTATAAAAAATTGTTTCATCGTCAGCTTGTGTGATGTAGTTTGGTTGTTTTTGAATGGGGATTGCCATGACTTCTTTACCATCGAAATTCAATGCACGAATTGTGAAACTCTTTTTGATTCTGTAAGTACCACAGACAAGGATTTGATCTTGACGTGTATACGAAAGATCAAATATATATCCATAAACTGTAGCAATAGTCTGTACATGTCTTGTACCCTTAAGCAGTTTTTCCATTTTTCTGTAAGGAGTTTGTTCTTGAAGATTCAATACTATGGCCTTTGTGGATGGAATCAAAGTTTCTAAGAATTTTGAACAGTTGAATTCCGACTCAGATCGTTGGAAAACAGGTAGCGTTTTCTCAAAAAGTTCTGGAAAGTTTTCAAATGAATATGACTTGGCTTCGTACATGGCTAGCTTTTTAGGGTCGGCAATTTGCCAGGAAAGCTGAGATTTACATTCTTCGATATCCTCAATGACTTTCTCTAGATTCGTTTTGTTGTCTCTTAAATAGTCCAGATGTTCTATTTCCATAGCTTCGATTTGCATAGTTAGTTTCTTGACCGTTTCCTCCACTTTATTCTTCAGGGTTAATCCAGCCACCTCCACATCCCTTCTAATGGATGCATATTTTTCAGGAACTGTAGACATTTTCTGTTCATTGTCGCTCGCAAGATTCATGTAAGTACTTTTAAATTCCATTTCGAGTTTCAGAAGTTCCTTTTCAATCAAGGTTCTCTGAGCCTTAAAACGATCTTCCATATATAAGGAAAAATGTCCTTTATGTTCAGTTTGGGAGCAAACATAACAGATCGGTACACAGCAAGCATTACAGAATAAATCGCAGATATGTCCAGTATGTTTATCGCATACTATTCTTGGCAATGCTTTTATCCCTTGGTACGGGGAGTCAAAATGGTTGGGATAATTCTTTTTATGCTTCCCCAGGCATTTCTCACAGATTTTTTTGCCGCAACTACAAGAGAAATCCACATTATTTTCCTCACAGTATTCACAAACAACGGCTATTAGAAGGAATACATCAGTGCTTCACTTCATGCTGCTGGCTAAAAAAAGGGCGTCATATTTCTGTCCTTCATGACTATCAGTTTCAAGCTACATGTTTTGCATTTAGAATAGCATTCTAGAATGTTTAAGCACACTCTACACTACTGGACGAAAAAAGTGCTGAGAATCCCAAATTTTACTGATAAAGTTTGATAATTACTGATACTGTGCTGTTGATGCTGATAAATACTGATATTTACTGTTATTATGTTCCCCAAAACGAAGTTGGGGAACATATTGTTTTTACTCTGTTTCTTATTATTATTATTATTATTATTAGGGTCTTCCGTCTTCAGCGGAAGACCCTTCTATTATTCTTCGGTTTCTTTTTTACCTTTATTATTATTATTATTATTATTATTATTATTTTTATTCTTTTTTCTTCTTACAAAATTTGTGCAGACGATTTCTCAGATATGTCTCGTTCGATTTGCTTCAAATTTTCACAGTCGATGCGTTGTGATCTGAAGTTAATTCTGGCAAATTATTTTTTGGAAATTCACTTCCGGTCGGGAGTTATCGCCCTTTGATCGAAATTTAGAGGACCTCCTTGTCTGTGATGGAACTCAAAAACGGTTCAAGCTAGAAAGCTGAAATTTTGAGGGATGGTAGAGGACATGTTGCCATATTGCACCTGGGTCAGGATATTTTCCGGAAGTGCCTAGTATGGAAGCTCGGTAGGGGTCAAAATTTAGGACACGTTTTATGAGTGATTTTTTGAGACATTTTCTATCATATCTTTTAAAATATAAATATTTTGTTAAAATATACTGTACAACATTTGTGCAAAATATCAAGATCTTCAATATGATATCAAGAAAAATGTGCTGACTCATCAGATTAAGGGCTGAAAGGGGCCAACAGTTTTTATTTGATAACTCTTTTAAAGTCAATATTTTGTTATACATTACTGAAGCAAAGATCTTTATCTCAACCGTCTACAACTATATATTATGATTTTTATGTCGTATGGTACATAATTAAGGGCCACAAGGGGCCAGAATGCTAAATCTTTGATGCTTTATATCTCGAAAGGGAGAAATATTTTGATAAGCAATATTGAACAAAAGTTGTTCAAAATCATGTTCTAAACAATATGCAACCTTTCATTTTTTGCTAAACGTCCCCGTTAAGGAGTTGAAGGGTTGGCCCCTAATTATATCTTTTGCTTTTAGCTCAAAAACGAATAAGAATTTCTGAACAGTTGTTGAACAAAAAATGTTCAAAATCTTAAGATCTTTAAGATGAGACCCCGAAAAAGGAAATGGGCACTCGAATTAGGGGCCAAGAGGGGCAAAAAGTCTTCAATCGATAACTCTTTATCAGTTAATATTTTGTAATACATTACTGAAGCAAATATCTTTATCTCAACCGTCTACAACTATATATTATGGTTTTTATGTCGTATGGTACATAATTAGGGGCCACAAGGGGCCAGAATGCTAAATCTTTGACGCTTTATATCTCGAAAAGGGAGAGAGAATTTGATAAGCAATATTGAACAAAAGTTGTTCAAAATCATGTTCTAAACTATATGCAACCTTTTATTTTTTGCTAAACGTCCCCGTTAAGGAGTTGAAGGGTTGGCCCCTAATTATTACTTTTGATTTTAGCTCAAAAACGAATAAGAATTTCTGAACAATTGTTGAACACAAAATGTTCAAAATCTTAAGATCTTTAAGACGAGATCCCGAAAAAGGAGCTGGGCATTCGAATGAGGGGCCAAGAAATGCCAAAAGTCTTCATTCGATAACTCTTTATCAGTTAATATTTTGTAATACATATCTGAGGCAAAGATCTTTATCTCAACCGCCTACAACTATATATTATGGTTTTTATGTCGTATGGTACATAATTAGGGGCCACAAGGGGCCAGAATGCTAAATCTTTGATGCTTTATATCTCGAAAGGGAGAAATATTTTGATAAGCAATATTGAACAAAAGTTGTTTAAAATAATGTTCTGAACAGTATGCAACCTTTCATTTTTTGCTAAACGTCCCCGTTAAGGAGTTGAAGGGTTGGCCCCTAATTATATCTTTTGCTTTTAGCTCAAAAACGAATAAGAATTTCTGAACAGTTGTTGATCAAAAACTGTTCAAAATCGTAAGATCTTTAAGATGAAACTCCGAAAAAGGGGCTAGGCACTCGAATTAGGGGCCAAGAGGGGACAAAATTCTTCAATCGATAGCTTGTTATCAGTTAATATTTTGTAATACATTACTAAAGCAAAGATCTTTATTTCTACCGTTTACAACTATATATTATGGTCTTTATGTCGTATGGTACATAATTAAGGGCCACAAGGGGCCAGAATGCTAAATCTTTAATGCTTTATATCTCGAAGGGGGGAAATATTTTGATAAGCAATATTAAACAAAAGTTGTTCAAAATCATATTCTAAACAATATGCGATCTTTCATTTTTTGCTAAACGTCCCCGTTAAGGAGTTGAAGGATTGGCCCCTAATTATATCTTTTGCTTATAGCTCAAAAACGAAAAAGAATTTCTGAACAGTTGTTGAACAAAAAATATTCAAAATCTTAAGATCTTTCAGATGAGACCCCGAAAAAGGGAATTGGCACTCGAATTAGGGGCCAAGAGGGGCCAAAAGTCTTCAATCGATAGCTCTTTATCAGTTAATATTTTGTTATACATTACTGAAGCAAAGATCTATATCTCTACTATCTACAACTATATATTATGGTTTTTATGTCGTATGGTACATAATTAGGGGCCACAAGGGGTCAGAATGCTAAATCTTTTATGCTTTATATCTCGAAAGGGAGAAATATTTTGATAAGCAATATTGATCAAAAGTTGTTCAAAATAATGTTCTGAACCGTATGCAACCTTTCATTTTTTGCTAAACGTCCCCGTTAAGCAGTTGAAGGGTTGGCCCCTGATTATATCTTTTGCTTTTAGCTCAAAAACGAATAAGAATTTCTGAACAGTTGTTGAACAAAAAATGTTCAAAATCTTACGATCGTTAAGATGATATGAATAAAGAGGGCCGATTCCTAAAATAAGGGGCCGTTAGGGGCAAAAGGACGATTTTTTAAAGTCTTTAATGTTCAATGTCTTTTTACAGATTGTGGTAAATCATTATTTTAGAATGAAAATCGCAATCAAAATCTTATCTCATCTCATCAAGAATTGGACGGAAGACCCACTCGTTGCTCGCAACGAGATCTCATCTAGTTATAATTATTATTCTTTTTTCTTCTTATTTCTTCTCCGGTACTTTTTTGTCCGGAAGTGTTCTCAGCAAACTGTTCACCCAACTAAGTTAAAACCTTTTTAGGGTTAGTAGGCATGTTGTGTAGATGTGCCGAACGAAGGTCATTTTGCGCGCATACGCATGCACGTGCGGGCGCGTGCAATGAGTAAACTGACTGATATTTTTAATATGGTTGTAACTTTTATATTTTTTGATAAAATGTTTTGAAACTCATTATATAAAGATATATAAGTTGTGTAGATAAGATGACATGGTCAAATTTGCATGAACTCACGCGCATGCACGTGCGCTTTGCTCTGATTGGCTGAAACAGAAATCTCAATATCTTTTTTGTTTTATGATGAAATGCTTTGAAATTTCTAACATAGACATGCATTAGGATGTACTACAATATGATATATAAAATTTTTCATGAAATCACGCGCATGCACGTGCGCTGCAATCTGATTGGCTGAAACTTTAAATGAGTATAACCCCCTTGGTTTTCAACCAAACAGCATGGGATTTACAACTTAGATAGACATAAAGGACTCCTACAGGATGGTATGGTCACCATTCACATGCATGCATGTGCGTGCACGTGCGCTTTGCTCTGATTGGCTGAAACAAAAATCACAATATCTTTTCTGATTTTTTTTTTTTACAAAATGCTTTGAAATTTAAAACATAAGCATACTTTAAGATGTCCTACAATATGATATATAATAATTGTCATGAAAATACGCGCATGCACGTGTGCTGCAATCTGATTGGCTTAAACTTTAAATGGCTATAACTCCCTTGTTTTTCAACCAAACAGGATGGGATTAAGAACATAGACAGACATAGTGGGCTCCTACAAGAAGGTATGGTCATCATGCACGTGCGTGCACGTGCAAATGAGTACAATAGTGTAGACAGATGATATTGTCATTACGCTCATGCAATCACGTGCACGTATGCATTGCTTAAATTTGAAATACTTGGTATACTTTTGGAAAAAAACGTTGTCTTAAATGCATAGATTTTGCCTTCTATAATGAAACTTACAGGGAATATGGCACGAGAAGGGAGTTGGGGAGCGTTTGGGGAACATCTGTAACGGTTCCCGTTACAATTAGCACTAGTTATTACTGTTGTTGCTGATATTTTTTGTTGTTTCTGATAAATACTGATAATTACTGTTGCCTTTTACTGTTGAGTCTGATAAATACTGATAAATACTGTTGAGGTACTGTCGTTGCTGAGAATTGCTGATAATTACTGTTGAGGTACTGTCGATGCTGAGATTTACTGATAATTACTGTGGTCATTGTTTTTAACCTGGTAATTGGTTTAAAATAAAACAGAGGGCTATAAATACCTTCAATTATCACTTTCTTTTACTTGAATTGTCATGGCAAAATTTTCATATTTTTTTTAATGTTCTGCTTGTGGCAAAATTACATGACTGTATGTATGTATGCTGATCTCAA